CATCGGGCTCCCCCTGCTCTGTGGGGAGTCTGCTTCTCCCCTTCCCTCTGCCACTTCCCCTGCTTGTGCTCGCTCTCTGTCAAAAAAAAAAAAAAGACTATACTTTAAGGAATCATCTCTACATAGTTACTAAAGAAGTTTCTCTAAATGTGTAAAGCCACCCGTAGGCTTTACAAATTTTAGCAAGCTTGATTAATGAAGGGAAATTAAAAGGGTTAAGCACATTCTGAGTGTATTATAAGGAGGACAAGGAGCAACCTAATAAAATACTGTTACCATCACTGAAGGCAATGATAAAAGTGAAATAAGATAAACAATTCACATTTGATAAGGAGCTTATAAACCAGGAGACTGCTATGAAAATCAGAAGCCAGTGGGGAACTGAAACAGACAGTTTCACTGGAAGAGTGGTAAACATGGAAAAAACTGCTAACCATGATCGTGATGCAAATGAGCCAGAAAGGTGACTTGAAGGACAGAATGAATAGGAAGGAAAAGTCTTAGAGGACAGGCAAGTTTATTATGCCAACCAGGCTCATCCTGACCAGCAATCTTTTCATATTTCTGAAGCTTCAAGGACACCCAGGGAGAGTTTACAGATAAAATTCTTATTAGCTTCCCTTCATTATTAAATGAAGCAAATGTTAGGCCATGTCAGCAGCTGACAGACTAGACATACCTTATGATTCATACACATTACACTGCCTATATAGTGACATATATCAGAGTTGATAATGATGACTTCCTATCACAATGTTTTACTTCCTGGCCTCTGGTAACTTAGGTTAGCTCTAAACTGGTTTTCTAGATTTAAAAAATTTTATTTTACTTTTAATTAAAAAAGTTCTAATGGTGATAAAAATATATAACATAAAATTTACCACCTTAACCAATTTTAAGTGTATAGTTAGGTAGTGTTAAGTATATTCACATTGTTATGCAACCAGTTTCCAGAATTTTTCATCTTGCAAAACTGAAACTCGATACCCATTAAGCAATAATTCCCCATTCTCTCCTCTTCCCAATCCCTGGCAACCACTAATTCTACTTCTTGTTTCTATGAGTCTGACTATTCCAGATACTTCATATAAGTAAAATCATAGTGTATGTCTTTTTTTGACTGACATTTCATTTAGCATAATGTTCTCAAGGTTCATCTGTATTGTAGCATGTGACAGGATTTCCTGTACCTATTTTGCTATTTAAGTTTTTATTTATATTTTTTAGTAATCTCTACCCCCAATGTGAGGCTTGAGCTCATGACCCTAAGATCAAGAGTTGTATGCTCTTCCACCTGAGCCAGGCAGGTGCCCCACTTGTTTTTTTTTTTAACTTAATATATCCTGGAGCTCCTTCTATGTCAGGATATAAAAAGAATATAAAAACAAACAAAATAAAACCAAATCAAACCCAAATAGGAATATTTCAGTGCTGCA